TGCCTAACTGGGAGTATTAGAGTCACCATCCTGATTGTATCTCCACGAACGCACATTAGAACTTTTATATTAATATATCACATCTTGACATTATATCTAGTGGTCTTACCATTTTATAATTTTACAGTTTTATCATTTGAGCCTTAGGCATTTATATGTGCCACTTTTATTTTCATTTAGCGCTGCAGTTTGTTTTACAGTATTTAAGAGGGTTTTAAGGTTTCCTTTTAGTGCATTTGCTGCTCCATCTCTTATCCATTTTAGCGCTCACTGAATTTTACTTTTTACATGTACATACATACACAAGTACATACATACACAAGTATGTACATACACACAAACACACACACACGTATACGTACATACACATGTACAGATACACACATGTACATACACACACGCTGTTAAGTGCTCTCTCCGCTCCCCTGAAGCCACGACTGGCTGACATAGAGGATCATGTGACCAGAGTGAGCTGAAATTAGGCGTGTGCGCGCACACACACTCCCTATAAAAAGTTGCAGTACTTCATTGTTCACTCACAGAGCCGGGGTACTGCACTCTAGGAGGAGGAAGAGAGCACAGCACACACTCCTTCCTTTGCTTTCACTGTGCTCAGCTATTGAGCAGTCTGACGGCTCCCAGTGCCAACGACAGATCCGGCCTGAGCTCCGAGCCTGCTCAGCAAGACGTCCCTGGGGGACACACTCGCCTCCACCATAATTTCCACTCGCCATTGGCGAGCAGGCGAGTGGAAATTTCAAGGCCTGTATTAGACCGTAGATCTCTCCTCTGGCTTTTAATGCATCCAATTAGACACAAATCGGTCTGATCAGCTGCTTCCCTGGTCTCTAACTGGCCAATAACCACAAAGCCAAAACAGGAAGTGACACAATCCTTGACGCTTCCGGTTTTTGACATCACACAGTGGGAGGAACATCATCACTTCCTCTGTCTGCCTAAAGATGGATGCCTCCAGTCGCATCCTTACCAAGCTACCGAATCGCTTGGGAGAGCCAGGTAAAGACGGCAGTGGGACCGTCTGTAAAAATAATCCAGCGGCTTTTTAGCCAGATTACTTTTACCGACTTTGGAATTGCTGGATGAAACAATGATACCTCGATCATCACTACAGCTGCAGCAATGACCGAAATATCACCCTTCTTATTCCATGACGTGGGGGGGGGGGGCAGCACAACATATCACTTAGGGTGAAGGTCTCCTTTTAAGTGATTGTAAAAGTTATATTTTACCTTAATGCATTCTCTGTATTAGGGTAAAAAACCTTTTACATGCATTTCCCCCTGCAGCCCCCCCCCCTGAATACTCACCTAAGCCCGATCTTGGCCCAGCGTGGTGTATGTCTACAGCAGCTCTTCTCACAGGCTCTCACAAGCTTGACTAAGAGCAAAGGGAGTCATTAGCTCCTGCTGCCATCAGTCAAAACCTGTGAGCAGAGACCAAGGCTGATCTGGGCTGTGTATCTGAATAGTTTGAATGTAAAATGTAACTGTGTTAGGGTTGCTTTCAGAGTGTTCAAGTAAAGCTGCCCCAACGCGTTCCTACAAACGGAACTAAACACAGTTTTAAGCTGCCTTCATACCGGCAATTTAGGCCAGTGCGAATTGTAGCAGTAGGGATCTTCTGATTTCTGCCGAGTCTGTGAGGCTAGGTGTGGCCTCCGGCCCCGTTCACTATGATGACCAGTTACCAATGGCCACGGGTGTTCACGGCTGTACACACAAAGTGTGTCCATCAGCAATCAGCACAGGTAATTGCTGGATGTGTAGAGAGCCACAAATAGCAGGGACCATCGGCAACCTGCCATTATAGTGAATGGGGCTGGTAGCTATACCTAGCCGCTCACAGCTGCAGCAGGAGTCAGACGATTATTGCCGCTACAACTGGTGTGAATTCAGCCTTAACGGTTTTTGAAAACAGTTACATTCAAGGCATTCCGTGAACAACTATCAGAGTTGCCTGTGCTTGTAAACTGAACTGTCAAGCCACCAAATTGCTAGTATCTTAACTGACCACGGTTTGCACTATGGTGGCAACTGCAGACCAAACAGAGACTAAGATGGCCGATTCCTTGACTGTAAGGCATAATTTCCGCTTTAAGACTGGTCCACCTAACTTACATTTATAGGACTAACTTGGGCAACCTGATCTTTATTAAATTTGGCAAATCTTCATGATTCTATCACACATTTAGGTCATCTGAGGGGGGGGGGGGGGGGGGGGGGGGGGGGGGGGGGAGTTGTCTGATGACGTCATCTTAACGCACTGACAGAGATTTGTTGGGCAAGATAAATAGACATCCCGATTGTTAACTGATCCAGCAAAGTCACTAGGACCAGGTACAGATCTCACCCTTGAAAAGGTCCAATGTACATATGCGGAATTTCAGAAGAAACCTATAGACTGCTAACCATCGAAATGGAAATAGCTGTTTTTATGTGCTATTTAATGAACACCATTAAATCACCCTGTAGCAGGCTGCTAACCATGGCTCATTACATAGACTGAAAAGCAAACTGCAGCATTGAGAACCATCACATACTTTCTTACAAATGCAGGACCTGAACAGGCTGAATATTTTTATTCCAATTTGTAATACATTTCAGCACCCAGCAATCTCTGAGAACCATAGGCATGGAAGTGCCTGAAAAATGAATATTTACCAAAAGCAACCAGATTCTCCCAATTATGTTCCCAGCATAGTGCAGGAGAAGGAGAAAATGGATTATATATGTGACATAGCTAACAAGAACTATTCTTTCTTTTTTATACATGAGGCCTATTGTCATCTACTCTCCAGAAGACCCATCATGACCCCCAAATGGGGGCCATGACCCCTGAATTCTGGTTCACTACCCTAACACAATATCCAGTTCTAGCATCACTGTGTATGCTTCAATTATTTCAAGTGAATGGTGATGGACTATCCAGAAACATACATTCATAGAACAACCTG